GATATAATTTTCCTTTAGTTGAAGGTATAGCGAACATGTTAATTTTTAATTGTACGCTTTAGATTAGTACGAAGGCTCACAGCTTTCATATTTGATTTCATTCTGGGCAAGGAAGACAATGTTGATTGTAAGGTCTTTTTAAATTTAGAGTAGTATACAAAACTTTGCACCTGGTGATCTACCATCACTATAGAAATGCTGACTTCAAATGCCAGGGGGCAGTGATTACTACTTGTAGCGGTATCAAAAGCACTCCAAGACGATGTTGTCAAATTTGAGGTAGCAAATGTCAAATCTAAGACGGACCTCGAACTACATCGTACGATTGTTGGAACTCTGGAATTCAAACAAATAAAGTTATTCTGATTAGTCCAGTCGCACAACCGTTTTCCTAGATAAATCAGTGCGAACTGCTCACGACAAGCGATGAGAATTGAAGTCTCCCGCAAAGAGTATACCGTTTCTGCAAAAACTCACAGTCATATCGAGGGCTCTTTCATTTTGTATTCCATCTGAAAAGTAGTTGTTGACTACAGATAGTGGCGCGTATCCGGGAAAGTGAATTTTCCGAACCAATACTTCAATGTCGTGTGATATTTTTTTGTAAACTAAGTGGGCTTTATGAGAAATTTGGATGAAATGAAACAATTAATCCTCTACCCCGTGAGTCTCTGTCCAGTCGAAAGCACTGATATTTTATTTAGATATAAGTTTTGATCCGCAGACAGCCAAGTTTCTTGTAGCATTACGAAGTCTGCAGATTGTTGAGAAATTAGGCATAATAAAACGGCAGTTGCAGAGAGAATTGAACGGCAGTTTGATTAAAGTACACTAAGGCACCCTAAGATGATAAGCAAGCAAAAGCACTGATTGATCTAAAATACCGTCTTTTAAGTAGTCCGCATTAGTCCTACTTTCCTTCACACTCTTTTTTTTGTTTTTGAAAGGAAAGTATTAAAATTGCTAGTAGGTGATCTGGTGCGTTTTAAAAGTCAAGCATCTATATCCACATTTCGACGACTTATTGATTCTGAATCATATATACTTTCCTGCTCAGTTGTGTTAGACAAAAAGGCCTTGCTTCATTATTAATAGAGGCATCTGTCTGATGTTTGGCAGGGTTATTGATTGAAGCACTAGGAGGTTGGATACGCTTAGTTATTTGTTCAGATACGCCCGACCACTGTGAATCCATGATATTATTTAGTGATTCGGACAGATTGAGTAAAAAATTTTCTAATAATTTTTTTACGGCCTTTTCTACAATAGCTGAGATGGACTGAGAAAGTGATGCATCCATAGCAAGAGGTGGACGAGCTGCTATGCCGGCATAACCCTGATTCCTGCTTTGAATTTCTGCCATTGCATCGAGAGCATCATCTCCTTTCATTGATTTCAATCGCCTGAAGTCCCTTTGATCTTGCAGGGCAGCTAGGATCGTCTGCAGCGTGCTTTGCCTTGCACAAACTGCACGTCTTATTGTCTGATTGGCACTCAGCAGTACTATGATCGGCCCAGTTTATGGCCCGGCATATGAGGCATCGAGTGTCTGATCGACAACCTTTAGTACTGTGTCCAAAGCTCCAGCATTAAGCAGAATGCAACGGACGGGGAGCTAAAGATTCGACCCTATAGATAAGCGGACATGCCTTGATCTTCGGAGGGTGATTCGTTCTAGCGAATGTGGCGATTACAGCTTCAGGTTTGTTTTCCTGTTTAGTACAGTGGTAAACAGAAATAACACCTGCTGGAGAAAAGATGTCCAAGACTTCTACTGGGCTTGGATTTGCGTCTACCCCCGAACCAATCCTATCCAGCAAGCTAGATGAGGTGGCATAAAAGAGCTCACCAGATGTGATGCAATAGTACTACACTCCAAAGGGTCTTGGATACAAACCTCGTCTGGTGAGCAGCATAGTATTCCCCGCGTCCAAAACTGACGAACCTCTCTTATCAGTAGGGAGTGTGGAGTGATCGCACGAAGTTCCGTTTGAATTGTCTTGGGATTCTTCATACGGATGAACCCACCAGTTGTCGGCACCAAAGCGACAGAAACGCTACGTGTTCCATAGCGGAGAAACAACTCCAAGGGCAGATCTTGAGGGGGAACAGAGGCTGACCAGAAGGTAAGCCTCTGGTCAACATAGTTCTTGTATTCGTTTACCTTCACTTGTGGCTCATACTCACAGTAAGGTATTGGCCAATAATTGAGTGGTCCTATGAATATATTTCATTTTAGGCTGAAGGAACTTATAAAATAAAAACTTTACAAAGTTAAGAACGAAATTTTGATGGCCATGAGCTGTACCTTCTATGAAGTTTTGGTATTAGTAATAAATATTAACCTACAATAAAACCTAACTTAACAAAAAGAAGTAATGCGCATGTCGACACAGAACAATATTAATTGTTAGTTTTGGTTTCAATCAGATAATTCCGCACTGCCTCGCAAACTATCGCACTGGCAAACCCAGAAATAGAGGTTCCAAAGGACAGGATAACGGACATGGTTAAATTCACTCCAATAGCACGTAAAAGATTTCTAACTCAATCTATGAGCTGTAGTAAATTTTCTTTATTTCGTGAACTTCTTTTTCACCTCTTCTCATGGCTCTTAGTCAATGCAGTGAATTGGCCGAGTGTTAGGGGACTTTAGTTCTCGTTTTTAAGGGTTTCCTCGTGATAGTTCTGTATAAGCTAGGAATTGTTAATACAACAAACTTAATTATTCAAATCTGATCTTTTTCTAATAATGGTAGTGTGTCTCGTCGTCTTCACACAGTATGTAACAGCACTCTTACATGAGATAATCTTAGAGCGTCGCAACGAGACAGTCTAATTGCATGGCCTCTAGCTGAGATGTTTTTTTTTCCTCTATTCATCATGATGTGTATGAATTCTTGCAATAAATACCAGAACGATGTCTGTGAATGAATTCCTAGTGGCAGTATCAGCACTGGAAATTTACAGGTTTGCTTGGCTTTATTTGTCCCCGACATTGATGAAGTGCGTGCTGTGATGGAGTGTTTGAACAGTTTCTCTTAGAGCCGGTACTATGTGACATTATTACGTGTGATATTGACGATATCTTGATTATATATCATGAGGAAGTGGTGGCGATGATTGTTCGCTGCATCGGTCATAATTTAGCAGCAGAAAATGTTCATGCATCACATGAATATATTCATGAGATGCTTTAAAGAAACAGGGCAAGGCTTAACCTTTGCATGCGATGAACGCCTGTAAGTTGAAATTTGGATTCAGCATTTAACTTCTTCATTTATAGATTATCACGTTTGCTGGCCGTTTGCCGTCAGGTCTAATAAAACCTAGTCAGTTTTCGCTAGGGTCACTTCAAATTCTAAAATCTTCCATAGACGTTAGACACAACGTTTTATGCTTTAACGGCGTCTTGTGCACAAAATATTTTTTAGCCTTCATGCTCGAATTCCCCGTCAGAAACAATTAACATATATTCTTCACAATGCTTGTTCCCAAATACATAATTGTGGCAGAAATTTGAAAATGTTAATTCAAAATCACGTTCTGGCTAGCCAGGCACCAATCATGCGGGGCTAACCTACCGAGTGGTCACTCATGTCAGCATTTCTTTTCCACAGATAGCCATTGCTTCGACTTCGTATTTCTATATGCCAAGTAAAGGGAGCTAGTAACTTTACTTATTATCTCTACTTTTTTGTAAGAATACGCTGCAGTCAGATTGCCAGAAATATATGTTTTCATCGGGTACGAGTGTATCGTCAAGCATATTGTGCGCAGTCAAGCACAACATGCTCTTTATTTCTAAAAAGAACTATCTTTTATATTGCATTTTGTAGCCATGTGGTCGGGTTTATGCGGATCGATTGGCGCACTTCCGAAACATTCGCCTACGTGAGCACCACGTTGACTTTACAAACCGAGTGTGCACTTCGTTTTCGTTTTTACTGCTCAATGAATTACTTTCTACTCCGCAAATTTTTTCACACGACCACAGTTTAGGGTTCCAATGATTGCCACATAAGGGAGATGGCCGAATAGATCACCACCTGCAGAAAATATTGAGACACGTGTGTTAGCACACCACACACTGCGTTCTTTATTTGTGAGCTGAGTTACACGATTAAAGTTAATGCTGAATAGTTATGGTCGTCTTGTCTCAAGTGTAGGTTGTATGAGCCTAATTTTTTTTCTCTTTGAATAAAGAACGCAGTTTTCATCCTTTCTTCTCTGTCTTCGTCTTCTGCGCTGTTTCAACTATCATTGTGAGCCCAAACCAACTGCCTGAGCTCCTTCCTGCTGCAGTCACAACTGCACGTTTTTTTTTTGTGGTGGTGGGGGGGAGGGAGACTCACATTTTATGGAGCGTTTCTTAACATGTGGCAGCAGTGCAGAACACGACTCAAAAAGCAGGTTACGCAAGGAAGCACTCGTATCGTCCATTCTTCAGTAGATTTCTTTATTCTGCGCCTCTAGACCATAATCCCAGCTAATCAGCCTAGATCTTGATCTGTAGCTTCTCGACGAGTTCACATAAGGCTGTCGAGGACCTTTACGCCTGGCTACCATTTATCTTGGTACCGCAATCATATTACTTTGAACTTATATGACAATATAACATAGTGCCAGATGCAGTAAAGTTTTGAGCTCGAAGCACCTTCTGGAAAGTAGATATTCGCTCTTATCTGTTTGAAAAATAGGGTAGTTTTGTTGAACTATTCAAAAGAAAAGATGGAATAAAGTAAATGCCCTATAGCACTTACTGCATTAGGCGTACAGTCTGTTTCGCACTTAGGAGAAATCTCGAAGCGTGTGGCCTCGCGATACGGCAATGATGTGGCCAGCGCGGCAGCCGCTCGTGCGTGCGCAGTTGCTTCAAAAGCGTGCTGCTGAACCGCACCGGCTGATACGGTGGTTTAATGGGCAGTCGGTAATGATGACTCCGAAACTACACTTCTTTCAAGCTGTAATTTATGAAATCACGGTATTATTTTTCGCAGTGCGTCCGAGACCTTTCTGCTACCTGCCGAAAAAGCGAGGTGCATGTTTCAGCAATTACCCTCGCTATTTCTACAACGCCACCAGTGAAAACTGTGAACAGTTCGCCTACAGTGGCTGCAGGGGCAACGCAAACAACTTCGTTGAGATCGACGAATGCACCCGCATGTGCTCAAGTAAGAAATTTACAAAGGCATGAGTTCCTGTTCCCCGAACTTCAACACACGGATAATATATTTTGTACGCATTTATTGCTGCTGAATTCTATTACTTTCCAATAAATCACGACCTTTCAGACAAATCATGACAGACTTGAATACGTTTGTCTATGGTACGCTAACTGCAGCTAGGTATTATTTATTACCCTTGTATTTGCTGATATAGCGACACCTTCAGTTATCTATCAGGCACGCTATTTGGGCACTCACACAAGAATCTTGAATATAAGCACGTTGGTGCAATGACGGTGAGCGATGAAGGTTTATCGAAAATCAAGGTACATGCTTCCATTCGCGTGCGAATGTTTGCAGACGCAATAACGACTCTGGGGTCATGCAATAAAGGATAAATATTGCGTTAAAAATCTTTACACTGTGGCAAAAGCAAACAGGCAAGGTTGTTTATCTGACGGACCGAAATGTATTCGAGAGGTCATGAAAACATCGTTGTTTTTTTATCACCTGTTTAAATGCCACGTTCCTGTAATAGCTAATTTGATAAAGCAGCAAGCTTGAGCAAAGTAAGGTTGGTGCATAACACATGAATCGTTACATTGAATGTATAAATCTCGGTCACAGATATTGCGAAGCATCAAATCAATGCCCCAATTCGATCAAAACAGAACATAACATTTGTATATTTAAAAATAAAATAAACTTTCAGAGAGAAAACTCTACAGCCATCTGTCAAATATCTAACGTGCAACCTTGAGGTGAGCAGCTAAGCACATTCAACGATGGTCCAGCTTTACGAACAATATTTTGCATATATTTAGTGCTTTGGTGTATTTAAATGTAACGTCGGTTCGCTTCGTTTTATATTGCAAAGAATATTGATTTCATTACAGAGTACCTGTAAGAGTGAAAGAAGAGAAGCAGAAGCCATTTTTACGAACGACATGAATTTCGGCACTTTCAGTGGACCTACTGTCACTCGGTAATTTGATGCGCCAAAATTCTTCAAGAAATAAAAATTGCATAGGCATTATTGTATCTACAAGCGGCAGTTTTAATAAAGAACAGATAATTTTCACAACTGTGTCATCTTTTCTCAGAAACATACGACAATATGTAACAACTACGAAGAAAAAAATTTTGTTCAGTGCTCCCTTAGCAGAAATTGCTAAATAAACAGCGTGAAAGCTTCCGAGAACGTGCAAGCAAAAATATCCCTATGAATCTTAATGTTTTTGTGGAGTCACTCATCCGAACATAGTAAGGTATGTTTCGTTTTCTGCGAAAATGCAGCGTCTCCAAGTTTACCTTCACTGCGAACGTTTCAAGGTGTTTCTTTTTAAAAGAACCTCTATTTCTGTAATGAAAAATCCATCATTGTAAACAGGACGACTTTGACAGATACCCAAGGTGTAGCCGTGAGCATGGAAGGTCTTAGTGCGTAAAAAAAATACCCTTCATCACAATGCGATGCCCATGCAGTATACTTCACGTCATACATAAAAGCAAGCGACAAAGTGGCGAGCACTACTTCCCGATCTAGGCACAAGGTCTCGCGTCCAGTTGCGGTGTGTTTAGATTACTCCAAAGAGCTAGCACAACATCTGGATTTTCGGTCATTCCCACGCCATCTGAAACTTTATGCTGAATTTCATGCATTATACTTTCGCCGCTGAAAAGTAGTTTCTACAGTCACCGACGGCTGCTCTTCGGACCAATCTGAGGAAGCTAGGTTTTTTTTATCATCATCATCAGTGTTTATTCAATCACGTAATACAAAAACATGGTTACAAAAGTATTGGACCATTAGCCTGTGTGGCTAGTCAGTGGTCCAATCTATTACATGATTATTTTATTACATGTCAGGAGCAGAGGTGCAGTTATTATGATTATGATCTATACACAAATTCAATGACAGGGTAGCTTTTAAGGTATATTTTATCGAATTAAATACACATGACAATAAATGCTAAATTGCTGCAAATACTTTAGTACACAAGTGATAAAGAACTAAAGGCATACATTTAACAATACAGAAGATAGTGATACCACAAAATATTTAGCACAATTTGTGCACAAAATTAACTGCGTTGAAGAATCAATACAATCGAACTCACTTCAGAACTAGAAACAAAAAGAAGGAAAGAAAAAGAACTATGCCAGATGAGTCGTAAAAAAGTGTGGACGTGAGCTTGACTTTGGTTTGCTTCCATTGCCTGTACCTGTCATCTGGACAGGGAAAGTGATTGCCTGAAACACTGCTAATAAACATCATCGAGCACCGCTGGTCCGATGAAACTCCGCGTCACAAGCGGTAATGTTTAATTCAGGTGGAAGCACTATTGATGGCAATCGTTTGCAGAGCGAACAATTTAAATTTGACAATTCGCGTTGTGAGTGGTTTCAATGACGCTCTTGGCGACGTGATCCACGTAATAATTAAACTATTTAGGGAGGTTATTCGGGGCTGGGTACCCGCCGTATCTAATCGCATCGGTGTGTGAGAGACTTCTGCGGAGAGTGAGAAACGGTGATAAACGTGCGTGCGTCTCTGCAGAATGCAATAAAGGAGACAAACGCGTGGCCCTCATTCCTTACAGTTATATATTAGTGCATGAACTTAAAAGTGTGGGGAACAGGTATAATGTGCGCGTTGTTTTCTCTGCACCTTTAAAATTGGGTCATATATGTGCCATGGTGCATAGGAGGGCGCAGGGCACGTCACAAAGCAGAGCATGTTTGCAGAAACACGCGAAACAATTTGTTAAGCCTTTTTTTAGGAGTGTTGTATAACATACCGCTAACGTGCGGTGGCATGCACATCGGCCGGACTGGGCGATGTTTGAATATACGCCTCAGGGAGCGTTTTCAGTTGCTTGAAAAAATAGTCCTTTTTCGTTATAGCTTCCCGTTGCAATACCTGCAAGTGTCAACCAGTGTTGAAAAAATAAGTGTACTTTTCCGGCATCCGCTTCAAACCACGCGTGAAATTTCCGAAGTATATCACATTTCTATAAATAGGACTCATTGTATTAGCCATCCGTCATTATCACTACTCGACTGTGAGTTTAACTATATTGATAATTCGTAGACAAGTGCTTCGAATGAACGCCACATTTGCTGCTCACACTATCATTTTATTCCTGTTGACATGCGCACCCTTTTTACTTATATGTCCTCCAAATGTGAGAATAAACCAGTTGTTTGTTGAGCGCTCGTGCTGTGTGCCTCTTCTTTGCTTTGTGTCTGTGTCTACCCCCGCGCTCGCAGTTCGCTCAACCATCATGAATTACCAACTAGCCCACCTTTTCATCATACTGCAATTAAACTATCTTCGCCTCATGAATCAAATATTGTCACGCACGTCACATCCTCATACAGTGAATCTTGCTCGGAATAGTAAAATGCAAGGAAAACTACTTCATGAACGGGCCTGTCTAAATTGGTACTTACTAGTATAACAGCACCGTTACAACCACAACGATTATTGCTGTGTCTACGAAGTATCCCAAGCGCCTGTGCTCCTTTAGCTGCCATAACTTCTATATGCGGACCCTAATTTAGGTTTTCAGTATAGGTCACTCCTAAGTATTTAACCTATTTCAGAGTGTGTGGTCTGAAACGCGCTTGTTCTTCAATGTCGTTCGTGTCATCATCATCGAGGGATGACGGCCGTAATAGCTTGACCCTCAGAAGCCCTTCCCTCAACAATGAAGCAGTCGTCACAATAATATGTGTCTTCATGAGACTTCCAAACGGCAATAACAATACAGTAATCACAATTAGTTACTACGATATAACTTTAATTTAGCCAGAACAAAGAGTACAAAGGAATGTTGTTATCGTATAAGCCAGGCTTTCACAAATTAATATATATTTGTATAGAACCTCGCAACTGAGGGAACTACACGATGGCAGGAACAAGAATGAACAAGGGGTTTATTGTCACGCTCTTATATTGGTGAAATACCTGATAGCAATGCTACCGTGATAAAGCAGGCGGCGCAGAGAGCCCATGCCCGCTACATCCTCCGAGGGGTAAGCAATGACAATGAAAGTTCAGTCCATTTGATTAAAGGCCGAATCGCAACGAACCCACTGTGGTGGCTTAGGGGTGCGTCCCAATGTTCTTGGGACCAGCGTAAGCCTGGGAGGAGCTGGCTCTTGGTGAATAGTTGGTGGTACTGGAACGCCCTCGACGTACCTCACTTGAGGGTCTGGTGCAGATAGGCGCGATGTAGCATAAATAAAACTACCCGATGTAGATGCCCCACAGTCAACAGATTTAGTCTCGGAGGAACCACCACCATTATCACTCACGTCTGCTATCCACTGTTCACCTGTCTGAAGGAGATGCCATCTCTAACGTCTAAACGCCGGACCAACAGCCGTTTTCACACCAAAGGACCTCGGAGACGTTCTTCCCGACACGATATCCTTTGGAGACCATGTTGAGTCCCTAAGCCGTACGATCGACCCTCTACCCAAGAGTGATAAGAGCTTTTTGCCGTCGATGTGATGATGCTTCTCGACTGATGTCGACTGTACGACTACAAAGTATGGCACATTCGACCAGAGACGTCTTCCTTGAAGGAGTTCTGCGGTGATCGGCCGTCCACAGGCGGCGTAAAGTGGTAGGCTAACTAGCCAAGCCAGAAGTCTTCCCGCAAATCTTCGTTTTTCTTCAGGTTGCGTTTCACGATCTGTACCTCTTTCTCAGCCAGAACATTTGATTGGGCAAAGTGTGGACTCGATGTTACATGATTGAAGTCATAATTTCTTGCAAATTCTGTGAGTTTTAACTTAAAAATTGCGGGTCATTGTCTGCGCATACCTCTAGAAGAACGCCTTATCTAGCAAACATTGCACTCAGTGCGGCAATTACTGTTTTTGCAGCAATGTCTTGGAACTTCAGCACTTCCAAGAATTTTGAAAACGCTTCGATTGCTATCACGTACGAACTTCCTCCAAACAAAAAATGCTTACCATCACATGCATCTATGCGATGAAGGTACTGGGCGCATGAGAAATAGCTTTTTTGGTTGCTTGTACGAAAACTTGCGACGAGTAGGCCAACTCTGAATAAGCAGCGATCTGTCATTGCTGAGCCCAGGCCAAAAAACCAGACGTCGTCAACACAGACGATAGTCTTTCTTGGGTACCTTCGACGCAAAAACTTTGATCTGTCTGTCTGTCTGTCTGTCTGTCCGTTTGTCCGTTTGTCCACAGTTACCGCGAACCTGGTACTCTAAACAGCACCAGCCGGTACCCCCGAATAGCCAACCCATCCGCAGCGCCAACCATTGTTGCTCAAAGATCAGCGTTCATATGTGTGCGATTGTCAATTAAAAAATCAAATATTGCGCATATCTGAGGCACACATAACAACGCGTATATCTTTTGCATGTCCATCTTTTACAAGAAATGACATACATGAGTAATTCTAAGAACATAGCGCTTATCACGCTTCGCTGATTATGCAACGCTTGCACGGAAATGCAAGTGTTGCCAACGCTTGTGCTAAGAAGACACGGTGGCGGCCCCTACCCGTCGCCTTGCGTTCTAGACCTTTTCACCTATGAGACGCGCGCGCACGCCCGTCGCCCGTCTCAGGGCTACGCGCTTTGTTTTCCTTAAAAAAAACAGCAGATGGCGCTCATGTCTCACGTGTGACGTGACTTGATGCGCTCGTTTCGCTTCCGCTGCACATTCGAGGCACTCCAACGCAGCGCCTCCGGAATACAATTCACCAATTTCTTGCGCGGCACATCAAATAAACGTATTGTTCCACTCACTACAGGCGCAAGCTATTGCCTTTCGACTACATTTGCGGTGTGACATGCAGATTTGAACCAGTTTGTGGTATGCCCCCTTTTGGCTTTTTGAGCAATATGCTGTTCCGACAGGAAGCTGTGACAAAAAACGGCTTCAGTTCACCCTGCAGGTTCTCACCGCTTGACAAGCTGGAGATGAAAAGTCCTCAGAAAACGATCATTTAGAGTTCCTTGCTCCAGCTTCCATCACGACGCATCTGTGACCAAATAGCCCAGAACTTGCACTCCATGCACCTCCACGTCATCT